CAAAGCATACATATCACATCAATGTGATTTATTTAGTGTGCAACCTAAAATCAACATCCAAACACTTTAATTTTAGTTAAACAAAGTCATTTTAATCATGACTGTTCACGTCAAATTTTATCGGGATGATAATATACGGATTGGTACATTATCAAATATATCAAAAAGACTGATAAAGCCATATTAATGTCTTCATTCGAAGTCATAGTCATACATTGTATAAATTTACATCCAGATAAAAAGTGATATTAAACATGCCTTACAAGGCGTTTCTTTTTAGTAAATAATTGATAAGATAACAATAATACAATTTTTTAAAGTCAAAAACCGTGAATTAGAATTTTCTTATAACACATGTTTATCTCCTATAAAAAAAATTCAGATAGAATTAATGTCACAAATTCTGGCGCATACAGTTTTACTAAAAAAAACGTATATACGAGGGCTGTTCGGATGTTATTGAGACAGTTTGAATATTTGTTTTTCTTTCTTTCAATTCATTCTCTTTCTTTATCGTTTTTCTTTTACATACTTCTTTGTCAAATAATTAATTAATTAATGTAATTGATATGGAAAATTGAATTAATTTTATTATTTACTAAAATACAAAATTAATTTTATTCAATCATTGTTGAGGCCGATAACCGTAGCTTTCCTTACACATGCGAATGCTTAGAAACCATGTTTTTAGACATATTTTTTGTGCTATTATTTTTAATATTGGAAATAGTTTAAAACTTTTCAAAGCATTGTTTTGAAAAAGTAATGGTATTTAAAGTTGTCAATATAATTACGGATTTCCTTTCTTCCCACTGCTCTTTTCATTTAATTGTCCCCCGCTTTCGCAAAAGCGAGAGGACATTAAATCTCATTCGTCTGTCCGTCAGTTTGTCCGTCCGTCACATAAACTTTAACCTTGCCCATAACTTATGACTTAGTGGGGCTATGACTTTCATATTTCTCAGGTGTATTCCTTGTGACAAGACCTTTCTTGGAGTATGACCCACTTAAACACAAAAACTCCAAAATTTTACTTTGGCCATAACTGTTAAATGTTAGGTACTAGGACTTTCATCTTTCATATATGTATTTTTTGTAGCATATGGGTCTTTCACATATGTATTGTATTTTTTGTAGCAAACAACTTTGGCCTTTTGACCTTGACCTTGGAGATTTCCGTACTTATGAGAAAACTTTAACCTTGAACATAACTTTTGAATGGTAAGGGATAGGGCTTTGTTATCTGTGAGAAGACATTTCATTGGATACCAAGAACTTTGACCTTTTCACCTTGACCTTTTTAAAGACTTTAACCTTGGTCACAACTTTTGAAGGGTATATACTAGAATTTCACATATGTACTCCTTGTGACAAGACCTTTTATTTGAAATCAACAACTTTAAACTTTTGATCTTGACCTTGAAGATTTCTAAACTTATCAAAAAACTTTAACCTTGATCATAACTTTTGAACGGTAAAGGCTAGGGCTTTCGTAATTCACATGTGAGAAGACCTTTCATTGGATACCTTTGACCCTTTGGCCTTGTCCTTGGAGTTTGACTTTCTTTTCAAAAACGTTGACTTTGGCCAAAACTTTTGAATGGTAGGTACTAGGACTTTCATATTTCACTTATGTATTCTTTGTGGCAAAACTTTTCATTGAATACCAACAATTTTGACCTTTGGACAATGGAAATTAACATACTTCTGAAAAAACCTTTATCTTGACCATAACTTTTAAGACCAATTCTCTGTAATCACCAAAATATTTTGGCACTCATAGTTACAGATTTAAATTTTTATATCATAATTTGATACAGGTGTGTGAGTGATTATAAAATCCAAAAATAGTTTTTGAATTGTAAACTTGGTTGCCATAGAAACGGGATACAAACTTTCTCATTTTTGTAAATCATGAAAATCTGTACTTTTCATGAAAAACCATGTCTAGAAATGAACAGAGATATCTAAATTTGTGTTTATTGTTGTTATCCAATACTAGAGATTCAAACAACAATATTTACAGTTCAATTTTAATTTTACACTTGTAAGTGGTCATGTAATGCATTGCAAAATGTCAAAAATATAGTAAATTTTGATCAGTTTTTACAGACTTAAAACAAAAAAATGCAGCCATCTACAAATTAAGCAATAATAAAACATGAAAGGTTGATATTTGGTTATATTCAAACAATTAAAAAATTGGTGGGCAAATGTTATGTGTAAAAGAAATTCAAAGGTGAATATCCATTTTTCCTGCATTTTGAAGCATTTTTTGCTTCCAAATTACTTCCCTTGGATTACTCTCTAGCGTTTGGAGGTACAATATGTAGGCACTTGTAGTGGTAAATAAATAGTTTGGTTAGCATTTCTGCTGTCCGCTAGGGGAAGTTAACGAACGATAACTGGAAATCAGCGGAAGTGCTGGTCCTGTGTTTACCCGTGCATTTACAGACACACACCACTACGGTGTTCTTGTTTCCTATGATAGGATATTATCTGGTAGGTGACATTGTCTTTATAAGTAAAATTTAATTTCTTCAGGTATATGGTGTGATTACTCTATTATGTTTTTACAGTACAGTTCATTAAATTAAATGTAAATTATTTTTTTTCTAAAGACGTCTAACATGTTGGGCTCAAGAAAATATTATTTACATATGTTTTTCTACTTAACCTATCTCAACCTATGGATTTTTAAGTGGGGAAATGTTTACAAAAGTTATATGAAAAATCACAAGTTATATAAATGAAGCGCTATTAGGTAAAGATTTTTTTGAAATATAGAAGTGGTATTTTGTGCTGCAAAATTACCTCCCTTTCCAATCAGCTGTTTATTGTTTATTTCAATATTAGGCCTATATCACATGAAGTATATATAGGAACATTTTACAATACATATTTTATGTAATAATTTGTGATTGTATTCAGACTAGACCAACAAATTAATTATCTTCCATACATTCATTCTTTCTTCATTTCCTCCCATTGCAGAATTTATTCATTCAAGTACAAACAAACACACTTGGCCTTACTATATCCCTTCCCACTCCAATGCAAGGGTGTTAAAAATTAGTAATAAAAATGAGAATCTGTGTCAATTGAAACTATGTCAAATCTTTAGGTATAAAACCTTAACAATATTTTCTGTATTTTTGTAATCGTCCAAAATAGTTATCAAAATGTGTATCATTCACTTTTTTAATTAATTCAGCCAGTTGCCTGTACTTTAAAGATATTGATATTGCACAGGAAAATACAAATTTTCAATTTTTAATAAGTAGGATTTTTATATATTTTAAAATCTCAAACTTTTGCATAAAAAGATTTTTCTTTTGCCAGATGTAACATCAAATGTCTTCTTTTATGATTTGCATTTTTTTAAAATTGTAAATTACAATTTATTACAATGTTTTTATACAAAAGTTTTTGTGAGGAGAATCAGTCAGCGCAGGATTTTCCGCACTATACTGATACTAATTGTTTGCATCAACTTTTGTATTATTACATGTATCTCAGTCTTTTTCACAAAAACAAGCCTAGCTCATAAGAAACATAAATTTTAGCTCTTTCCTATTTGATGTTGCACTTTATATATAGCTATCATTCATTGATATTTAGCACTGATGGAGGAGAAACATTTTATAAAGATAAAAACATTGATTTGAGCCATTTAAATGCACCTTTAGTCTATATCATTTGTCTTCAATTCTTAGAATCTGCCTAATTTCTTACAATACATTGACTTTACCTACAAAGTGATGGAAGCTTAATTTGGACTGTGTTGGTAAATTGTTGTAAACAAAATCAGTCAGCGTGGGTTTTTCCGCACTATACTAAATCTTATTTTTTGCATAAACCTCACATTTTTTCTTGTACCATATCCTACAAAAGTAGGTCCACATAAATAAACAGTTTGCAGCTCTCCCTAAAAGCTGATGCAATTCAAGAAAATATATTTTTTTATATTCACAACTCAAATGAAAGGATTTACAAATGTTAGAAGCTTCATTATAACTTTTCCACAATCTTAAAAAGTCTTAAACAGCTGGGAAACTAGCTTTCATTTACCTCAAATAACTAGTATTTTTATTATTATAGACTCTCTTTAAGTTCTCCCTTTCTTATAAGTAAGTGTCAGTAAGTGCTGGCTTTTATGCAGCATACTGATTTAAATATTTGTAACAGTTGCTTTGATTTAAAAAATTTAGTTCAATTGATATGTACAGTGTTAAAAGTCCTTTAAGGCAAACAAAATATCAGAATCCCATGTGATATAATTTTTACCTGTACATAATTACGTATGTTGCAATTGTGAAATTCACCTCTCTGTTGAAGGGATTTGCACATTTCTGCATGAAATGCTATATGGAATCTACACTTCAATTCATACTGGATTATAACAACATGGACCTAAAGTCATTAACAATACACTTCATACTGGGTATAGACATAAAATATCTTTTTTTTAAACATTAATTACTGTGGAATTACACTTTCTACTGGATTGAAAACATGGAATATCTCCCATTATCATCAACTGACTCCTTCAACTTGCATATTTATTGTATAACACAGTGACACTATTTTTGGACTCACAAGTCTACACCATCTTCATCTTGGATTATTATTTTTCGGATTATTATAAAAATGACTTCTACAAGTTTTCCTCATCAGGGAAAACAAACTACCTCTGAAACAGAATTATGACATCAACCTTCAAGAGTCAGTATATACAGTGTACTTGATGGAAATAAAGAAACAGACTATAGATAGAGTTATCCTTCCTAATGGTAATGTTTCTTTTTTTACTTTATATTGGATTACCTCCCGTAGAAAATGGTAGGTCACAGCTTCTACTTTTGACGAGGTAGGGTGTGCATGTGGTTATTTTAATTTCTACAAAACAACCAATAAAATGTCGTTTCATATTTACTTCTAAATGCAGAAAGGAAAGTAAAAATGAACATGTGATCTTTCAATTCTTCAATTTATTTTTTAGGGAGAATTGCTAGTTTGGTGAGAAAACTTATCAAAGCGGGTCCGGGTGAGGATTGGCAGTGTGGAAGAAGGAAAAAAGGCCAAGATATAATACATAAGAAGACAAGAGGTAATTATAAATATTACAAATGCTAAGTATGTATACTCTTTTCTCCATTTTATTGGCTTGCATGCATGTAACCCGAGATTCCTCTGCTATGAAAATTGTGACACCTGAAGGGACCTCTGTCCTGACTCTCCCCGGTACATTTTCATACATAATTACATAAAAATACATGTTGATGGCAGACCATGAAGACATGAATCAGGTCAGACACAATCTCTTTATAAAACCAGGTCCAATACAATGATTTGGCTAGGTAGATAGCTGTAAGCCTATATTTCAAAGCAACTTATACGTCGCTTGCGCAGTGCAGTGTTTAGAGAGTCTGCTCTAGAATTGCAAAGTAAGGAGTTTATGCTTATATCGCAGGTTTATATCCCACTCTGGGACGTGGAGACTAGCCCTTCGGATGCTATCATATAAACTGAGGTTCCGTGTGGCAGTAGCCAGTAAGGCACTGGAACAAAAAAATCCCTCACTGCTCAATGGTCGTGAGTGACAAGTATAGGACAAAATTTGCATCTCTCCAACGGCAAGTGGTGGGTCTCTCCATATTTGTATTAAAAAATTCTGAAGACTAGGAGACATTACAATCAATGTAATCTTCTTAACAATAACATTAAGTGAAAGTTTCCCTTTTCAGAAAAGAAAAAAATCCCAGGTGTATAAAAATATTAGAAGATGAAAAATCATGGTATGATGAAATTCGGTGTATAACAGTAAATCCTTATACATTACAGCCATACTATATAATACACATACTCCTATATATAAAACTAAAAGTAAATAGTTCTGTCAATAAAGAGAGGTTAAGCATTTTACCGTGTACGTCTACCTCTACATGTAAACATAGCAGTGATTTTACATCGTGTTCTGTTTAACAATCTGCACGTGTACCGGTATTTGTAAAACATCATTTCAGCATGACACTTTTCAATCCATTTGTATCAAATAAATCTATGACTTGAAATAAAAAAAAGATACTTTGGATGTACGTAATAAATACTCAAATTCATACCAAACACCTGCTGAAAAATAAATATTCTGTAGTTTGAGTTTAAGAAGCTACAAGTTCTCACCTACGTGTACTTGCGAGTCTATACATTGTGTACAACTTGTAGAATTACCCGGTATGCAAAACTGATGACTTAAATCACTTAAAAATATGGGATTTCCCTAGGGACACGTACACGGTCATCTGCTTAACCTCTCTTTTATATAGTGCTTGACCTGTACATATTTTTGTAAGGATAATGACTTTCCTTTTGATCATGTTGACAGGAAAATAATTAAAATATAGATGGATTTTTATTATAAAATTAATTAATTTTTATCTTGAATTAAGTAATTTTTAACAAAAATTAAATTATATTTATTTTTTGTTTTCAAAGGATTCACCAAAGAGGATGAAAAGGAAAAGGAACAAGAACATATACACATGTAAATCATGGCTATAACAGAATTCAAATGAAACCTTGAAGTTAATTTTGGAAAAGACAATTTCAGGAATTGGGACAGCTTATAGATGCATTTCTCTTCAAGGTAACCAGTTTCAAAATCAAATCTAAATTGTTGGAAAAACACAGTACTACATGTAGTATATGGTCTGCTCATTTCTCTTTTATTGATCAAAATGATTTTTAAAGTCATAATAATATATGCATGTATCAAAGAAAACATGTTTAACTTTAACAACTGTCATAATGATCATTAGAAAAACACCTCTTGATTTAGGGTTTGCTTTTACATTTATGCATTTAATTTAATTATGTATTTAATTCAGTTTGATATTTGTATTCATTTGAAGATACACTGTATTGAAAATTGTATTTACTTCTGCAGGTAGAAAAAAGTCATCTTAAATATATAAGTGGAGATGCAATATCATGAAGTTCAAAGTAAAGTGCAAAGCTGAATATCATAAAATCTCCAAACAATGGTGAAGCCTTAAAAGTTGGAGATATGGCATTAAACTTTTTCCTTAGAAAGTACCTTGATGTCTGTTACTAGTAATTTAGTTTCCCATATGAGGAGCAATGTAGCTGGCTTGTCAGAGTGATTTTCCTGAAGATGAAATTGGAAATGAGAATATTCATGTGTGTCTCCATACTGGAAATCCTCAAGATTCAACCAATTTCTAAGTGACTCAGTGAGGTCATTATTTAAGGAAGCTCTTAACAGCACACTAATGAGCTCTACTTGAAGGAGTAGTACAGTAAGAGTGATCTCCCCTTAGAAGACAGATAGAAAAAAAAAATGGTTGCTTTAATACCATTTATTTCACAATTTGTAATACATTTAAATATTTTTACTAGCATTATCTTAGACAAAGAATAAGTAATTGATTAATATTCACATTAATTTTCCCAATAGTCAACGACAGGGTTATCTGTTCATGAATAATTCATAACATTTTTCTTGTAGAAATAATGCAGGTACATGTACTTGTTTAAAATGAACTAATAATCTCAAATGTGCATACCTTTATATGATATTTTTTTCTTAATTGAAAGTCTGCAGATCACTTCTTGATACAAATGTATTGTTTAGTGCTTCTTTAAATTTCATATGATATGGTTTGCAATTAAAATACATTGTAGTTGATGATTTTGATAAAGGTTGAAATAAAAATTTCACAAGCTAACAGTACTTGTCTTAATTGTAATACTTTGTAGCCTTTTGTTCTATCATATGTAGCAGCTAACTATGTAATTTTTTGTGTTTTGGATTTTGTTTCATGTTTATATATTATAAAAGCATATAATTTAGAAATTATTATGTAGCCTTATTAGGGCCCCGCTCGGCTGGCGCCCTATAGTGATCAGTCTGTCCGTCCGTCAGTCCGTCCGAGATCTCTTGTCCGGAGCATATCTTCTCTCCCTTTGGCCCAATCTTGCTCATACTTCACCCACAAAGTGCCCTTGGGTAACCGGTGTGCAGTGACCTTGAACCATGTTTCTAGGTCAAAGGTCAAGGTCATAGCAGAATTGTGTGAAAAATCCTTGTCCGGAGCATATCTTCTCTCTCCTTGGCCCAAACTGGCTCATACTTCACCCACAGAGTGCCTTTGGGTAACCAGTTATGCAGTGACCTTGAACCATGTTTCTAGGCCAAAGCTCAAGGTCAAAGCAGACTTATATGAAAAATCCTTGTCCGGAACATATTTTACTATCTCCTTGGCCCAATCTGGCTCATACTTCACCCACAGAGTGCCTTTGGGTAACCAGTGTGGAGTGACCTTGAACCATGTTTCTAGGTCACAGGTAAAGGTCATACCAGAATTTATGAAAATTCCTTGTCCGGAGCATATCTTCCCTCTCCTTGGCCCAATCTGGCTCATACAACACCCACAGAGTGCCTTTGGGTAACCAATGTGCAGTGACCTTGAACCATGTTTTTAGGTCAAAGGTCAAGGTCATAGCAGAATTTTATGTAAATTCCTTGTCCGGAGCATATCTTCTCTCCTTTGCCCAATCTGTCTCATACAACACCCACAGAGTGCCTTTGGGTAACCGATGTTCAGTGACCTTGAACCATGTTTCTAGGTCAAAGGTCAAGGTCATAGCAGAATTTTATGAAAATTCCTTGTCCGGAGCATATCTTCTCTCCCCTTGCCCAATCTGTCTATTATTTCACTCACAGAGTTCCACTGGTCAGTGGATGTGCAGTGACTTTGGTCGAAGTTTCTAGGTCATGGTCAGTATTAGCCTCTCTGTTTAAAATCTTTGTTTGGTGCAAAATAAAATTTTTTCCCTCTAATTCCAGTAAATTTATATAACTGGAGATACAAGATAACTTCAATATATATCTGTAAATTCGCAATATCCGTGAAGTCATACTTGATGACTTTTACTGTATTTCACAAATGTTTCTCTTCAAAATAGACCCTTTTAAACTACTTTACATTTTCATGTTCATTGTTGAATGCGGGGCACTTTGAGATGGCCACCATCTCAATGATATCTGTTAACTGTTAACTGCAGTAATCAGTAATAGAGGACTATTATTTTTGTATTTGTGCTCGAAATTGGGAGGGGGGGGTTACATTTATGATCATATTCTTGCCTATAGATATAAATAAATAATTTTTTATGGTTCAGCTGACAATATCTCATTGATTTTACAAATTTTAAGCATAAATTCCTTGAATTTTTATTTTAAAAAGAAAAATATATCTTGTTATATGAAATGTTCATCAAAGCTGATTTTTGGCGAAATGCCAATTTTATGATTTTTCATTTTGTTATAGTCAACATTTGTTGTTATTTGCCCATGAATGTTTTTGAATATTTTCATTATTTGTGACAAGTACCTTCAGATGAAATAGGTGATACATTGTGAAAGTTCTGCTAATTTTTTATTTTTCTTCCCAAAATGTTGTAATTTTTCAGTTTTGACCAAATTTCGAAAAGTTGATATTTTGCCATTGTTTGACAAAGTATTACAAAATTTTCAAATAATTATTAAACATGTTAAAGATGTCCATTGAAAGTGTTGATGTTGTAGTTTTATAAGAAATTAGCAACAGAGTTCTAATCTTAAATATGGGTTCAGCACAGATGGTGTAAAAAGTGTGATTTTTAGCAAAATTGCCATACACAAATTAGCCCTATATGTCAGAAATTTTGTATCCCGGTTACCATGGAAACGGAGGATGTCCAGAAAAAAATTATACCATACATATAGGTTTTACCCTAGGAAGATACTATATGCCAAGTTTGAAGAAATTCTGAGACTATGCGTGCCAGACCCTTTCAGAATTACTTTGGTGATTACAGAGAATTGCTCTTAATTGATAAGGGCTAAGGCTTTTATACTTCAAATACGTAATCCTAGTGAGAAGAACTTTCATTGGATACCAGGAATCTAAACCCTTTGACCTTGACTTTCGAGTTGATTTACTTTTTTAAAACATTAACCTTGGCCATAACTTTTGAACGCTTATGGTTCGGGTTTTCATCCTTCACATATTTATTACTTGTGACAAGATCTTTCTTAAGGAACCAGCAACTCAGACCCTTTCACCTTGGATGTTTGACCTACATTTACTTTTCAATAATTTATCCTCGACTATAACTATTGAACAGGTGGTGCTTGGGATTTTTTTGTATTTCACAATTGTATTTCTTGTGAGAAAAACCCTACTTTGGGTAATAATATATTTAATTTGCATTTGAGAAAAGTTTTATCTTCGCTATGTTGCCATACGGGGTCATCAATGTTTCTCAAACACATCTTGTTCCTAATATATTGAGAAGAGATAAGGCTTTCATATTTGACATATTTATTACCTGTGACAAGATAGTTCCGAGCATGCTATGTGGCAACGAACTTTGAAAAAATTTTGCACTTTGAAAATTTTTTTCAAAGTGCGTTAAAATTGGGATAAAATCAACGCACTTTGAAAAAAAATTTAAATTGCGCTAAATTTTGGACACACTCAACGCACTTTGAATTTTTTTTTTTCAAAGTGCGTTAAGAGTGTACATAAATATTTTTTACCATGGGAACATTTAACGAAATTGCATGAAAGAAATATGCATACAACAAAAAATTCTACATTCATATTCCAGTAATTGAGAGAATCAATTCGTAATATTTATATCTTTTGAAGAACTTTAAATCACATGTAGTCATTTAACTTCATTGAGAACAAAGAGAAGACGAGTTGGTCTCGCAGCCCAACTCTTATTTTTTCTTATACATAGCCGTTAGTAGCAAATTGAAAGAGGACCGTCCCCCAAGGTAAACCCCAATTTTCAATCCCTATATTACGCATATCTTCAAACAACTGTTGTGTGCCTAAGCCCCCTTCCTTCCCGGTACTGATACCTATGCTACACCCAAATATATGTACTATTTGCATAACTGGAATAACGATGAAACTTTTAATAAATTTGAGTTTATATAAAATGCATGCTAACTGGAAAAAATAAGTACATTAAAAAATTTAAAAGATAAAGAATTTTCAAAGTGTGGAAAAATCAAAATCGCTCACTTTCACATCTTAAGGTGACCTAATCATGCTAATCACCGAAGAGTTATCAAATAGGTTCAATTATTTATCATACCTAAGAATAACAAAAATATTGACCAAACCATACACATTTTTTTTCAAAGTGCATTAATATGGTCGATATTAACGCACTTTGAAAAGAAATTTTATTTTTTCAAAGTGCATTGATTTGGACCCAAATTTAACCCACTTTGAAATTTTATTTCAAAGTGCGATGTAACAATGCTATGATTTCTAAACCCTTGACCTTCACGATTGACCTTATTTTTAAAAAAATGAACTTCAATGAAATAAATGACATGATAGTGTGTTCATATTAGACACAATAAAATAATAAAAAAAAAAATAACATTTCTCCCACAAAGACACCGAAAGTGGGGGACCACAATTCGTTGAATTTTCTTTTTAAATTTCAAATAAAACAATTTCTTTTTTTTTTTAATTTATCCGAAAATGAAATATATGATATCAATCTTTAAATAATGAGATAATTCATGACATTTGTAAACAAAGTTGAACATGATATAAATATCACTACTACAGTTCATTGGTTTAAATGTATACAGATCGAGACGCCTCCTTCCAAATATTTTCGTAACGTGGGAAAACTTGCAAAATTGGGTTTTATCCGTTATGCATAATGCACCATTCTACACGTAACTATTGTTGATGTTCCTGGCATAAACGTTACAGTGATCCTTATGTCTACATTTCTGTGAGAAAAAAGAATTAAATTCCAGTGTCCGCCATCATAAAACTTTGAGAATTCTCAAAGAAATTCTCAACTCAACTCTTGACAATAACTCAGCTGAGAATTTGAGAATAAAAGAGTTTTAAGGTATTTTATTTTTCTCAACTTTTTTATGACGGCCTCTGTGTCTGAGAATTTTGGAGTTGAGAAAATTTTTAGACTTGAGAGCATTCTCAGAGTTAAGCATGTTTTATAACAGCGGACCCAGAGTTCCTTTCTGCTTACAGTTATTTTCATCTCAATTGAACTATTTTTTTCAAGATAGTGTCATCAAACTTTATATGTTGGTTCATACTGATAAGAGCTATTCAATTACATCAATATTTGACCTTGACTTTTTCTTTGACCTTGACCCCACTATTCCTTAATTAGTGTCAAACTTCATATGCTGATACATACTGATGAGTGCTATTCAACTGCATCAACATTTTTGACCTTGACGTTTCATTTGACCTTGAACTCATTTTTTTAAAATTAGCATTCAACAACATTTGTTGATACACACTGATGTAAGCAATTCAACTGCATCACTATTTAAGATATTCTGAAATTTCATTCACAAATTCAAATTTTCATGTTGCATTACTGATATACCCAAGGCATTCATGTCTTGTGGACATATTTCTAGTTGAAACTCATGTGATTACAGTGTACTTTCCAATATACACATGTAATTTTAAACAAGAGGCCCATGGGCCAGATCGCTCACCTGAGCACTGTGGATAGGAAAAAGCAGAAATTGGTTTAATATTGAAAAGTTTAAATCCAAAAGAAGTCCCATGACCAATCATGGCTTTGCTATTCTTGATAAGATGATTTTACAAGAATTTTCCTCTATATGTCTATGTAAAACTTTGGTCAGCCATGGTGGCCCCGCCCTACCACCGAGGGTCATGATTTGAGCAAATTTGAATCTACACCACCTGAGGATACTTCCATATAAATATGATCAATATTGGCCCTGTTATTCTTGAGAAGAAGAGTTTTAAATAATTTTCCTATATATGTCTATGTAAAACTTTGGTCGGCCATGGTGGCCCCGCCCTACCACTGAGAGTCATGATTTGAACAAACTTGAATCTTCACTACCTGAGGATGCTTCCATATAAATATGATCAATTATGGCTTTGTTATTCTTGAGAAGATTTTTAAAGAATTTTTCTATAATATTTCTATGTAAAATTTTGGTCGGCCATTGTGGCTCGGACCTACCACCGAGGGTCATGATTTGAGCAAATTTGAATCTACACCACCTGAGGATACTTCCATATAAATATGATCAATATTGGCCCT